AATCCTCTCTAAAAACTGTCTGTGAGTGAGACACAGAGAGGGAAACAAAATTATATAATTCTGTCTTGCTTAGCAAGGCATTTCAATGCTTTTCTATGCATTGCTATGGCAGGCCCCAATAAATATTTTACCAGTGTTGGAAATATCAGTTTAATTAGGCTAGCCTAATTAAACTGATATTTCCAACACCAGTGGTACATAACTTACAAAAACCTTCAACACAATAAGTTTTTAAACCATAAGTCGTTTAAATATAATTACATGCTAAACTGTTCTTTGAATATGATTGGTCTTTTTTATGTGTATAAATGTAAAGGTATAGGAAGCTTTTAAAAAATTGTAAAATGAATTCATAATTATTTCTAAATTTAAATGTATTGTGCAAAACTATAAAGCATAACCTGTTTTTATTCCTTAGAAATGCAATTTTTAAATTGAAGTACCATTGGACTGTTATCAGTGTTGCCCTTTTCCTTGACATAGATCAATCAATCATTAGTGAGGAGGTAGTGTGATTACTAATATTATTTTTTTTTAATTCCTGCATTAACTCGTGACAAAAAAAAAACAGTCAGTTTTGATAATTCGACAAACTTTTTTCAAGGGATGTGAGCAATTTTATTTATGAGAAACATTTCTTAATACACTGATACTGATTAATGTAGCCCAATTGGTACAACTGTCTTGATCTAAAATATCAGATTAAAAATTAAAAATCAACTCCTGACAAAAACTCGTAAATATTAGTACTAGTCTAAATGGTCAAGATGTTTAACATAACAGTTCTTAGTACTGAACCGCCATTTACGAGGTGAATTAATGAGAAAAACATCTGAGGCTACAGGGCCACAGCAGTGCTGTTTGGGAGGCAAGCAGCTAATTTATGAAATGAACCAGAAGTGTGTCAGAGTGACATTGCTCCACATTCAAGCAATTCCAAAGTTGGATCAGGTGTGTAATATTTACATTAGAGAAACTGTTTCACAGGGCTCTGTCACAGGTAATTTTGCACCAATATTGCCACCAAATGGAGCAAAAAATATTGACCTCACTTGCATTTTTTTTTATATCTGTGCTTGTATGTGGAAGATGCCAAATGTCTTGCCTAAAATCGGATCCACCAAGTAGTTTAAGTTGCATCTAACTTCCCATGACTCATGCTGGAAACTGAAAAATTTAGCTCAGCCAGACTTTCTAAACTCTGTCTTGCAGAGTTGGTGCCATGCATGTTTTGGAATGACTCAAAGCCTAAACCTAAATTTGATTGAGAATCCATAGCACAATTTGAAAACTAATTGCTCTTCGTCCAATCTGGTCAAGGTTAGATTATTGTCTGAAGAAGGGGCAAAAATGTCAGCTTCCAGATGGGAATACCTGGGAGAGAAATACTTCACAGGGTTTGCAGCTGTAGCTGGTTTCAAATGAAATGTGTGTTTTCAATTTGTGAGGTTGACACAAATGCATTCTTTGCTTTTCTGCTTTGTATTTGTAATTATAAAACAATAAATCTTTTTCTAGGATTTCAAAAGTCTTACCAACTTTCTGTTTGTCAGTGACAAAAATTTTCCAGGAAGAATGAGGAAGATTGTTGTTCTAATGAGACACAATATAAGGGGCAGGAGTAATTTAGTAAGAACCTGGATAAATTGAAAGCCTACTTCTTTATTATTTGCAATATTTAACCCACTGTGTGTGAAATGACTGTTGGCGTCAGGAACATATTTACCGTAACACATGTATTACTTCTCTTCCATTAACACAGACGGCACATGCAAAATCCTAATCTAAATAGGAAGGAACACACCACTTTTGCACGTATAATCAATTGCGCATGAGATCTTTGTAGATTGTACATACCTTATGTGAAATCTTTTAAGATCAGGCTCTCTGTGACTTTACAACCTATGCAGAAAAAAAAATGACAGAAGCTACTTCTGCTAATAACCCAGAGGTTTTGATCTGAGACAAAAATAAATCAGTTTGCTGCCTTGAAACACAAAAAGAAGCCACATAATAGTTTTATTTGTCAGTTTTTGTTTATTTCTCATAAAATAGGCATGTACAGTGAGGTTTTGTGAACATCTTTTAAGGAGAATTATGCATACTGATAAGAGAGGCACCGACTACAAATAAAAATACACAATATGAACAACATATAATTCTGGTTGAACATACAATTAAATAATATCATCCTCCTTGCGGCAGTTCAGCATTTTCTGTCTCTAATATCAAACTTTTATCATTTATTGTTACCTAAAGCCTTCTTTCATGTTGAAGATAAACTTCAACTCTGGATGAAATCTATGCTTTTGTTGCAAAAACATATTCCAAAGCCAAAGTTGATGTCTCAACAACTACCCTGCTTCTATTGTCATCAAACTGGCAGTGAGAAACAAAACCTGTGCTGGTTGCTTGTAGACCGAGGCATTCTGACCTAAATTACCTTTGAAAGATTGTAATATTTAAATTTCCAGAAGAAATTCAAAGTGCCTTCTCATCAGGCTTCATCGTTTTTCAAAGTCACATCGAAAATGAAACATGGTCGTTGACAGCGCTCTCTGTACGCGTCTCCACATTTCCAGTGTGTCCGTCATTGGCAGAGAGGACAGCACATTTGCAAATCCAAACAACAAGCATAGATGTTAATCATCAGGTGGTGAGGCTTTGTCTGCTCCTGGTCCATTGATTTAATGTAATGGTACTTAATCTACTGCTGCAGCAGTTGTGCTGGGTCACGATGCTTTTATTCCTAATCGGTGTCGCTTACATCTCCAATCATGGTAAAATCTCACATCCGAGTTTCACCTTTGTGCATGACAAGCTGGAATATATTTGTCTTATGCCACTCAGGATCAGAGAGGGCGATTGGGGAAAAATAAAAAAAATCGGATTTACTCGAAATCTTCTACATCAGTCACCCAGTAATCCGTGTTGCATGTTGTTGCGAGAGATTAGCAAAGGGTTTGTCTTTTGCTTTTTTTTTTTGTAACAAAAGATTTAGGCCAAATGTGATGTCAACGGGATTGACCTTTCCTCAGAACTCATTTAAAACCTTGTCTTTTAGTCAAAAGTTGTTTCTTTTATATCATGAGTTTTTGACAGCATATGACAAAATATAACACAGTATGCGACAAACACTTCAAAAGTGCTTAGTGAGAAACGCAAGTGATTCAGCTAATCGCACTAAATATAGTCAGTAAATGGATTGAAAAATAAATATTTTCACAATTTGAAAAACTGCATAGTCACAATTAAGCATGACTTTCACCCACACCGATAAAATTCTTCTCATTACATTTGTGGATACAGAACCTGGGTTTGAGCTGCTCAAAGAGCGACTCAAAAGATTAATACTTAAAGAAGAAATGAGATGGACTGGAAATGCAAAGGGAGATGTAGTAAATTAAAAAATCCAGCAGTGATACGGGAGAGAGACGTTGGAAGTAATTTCAAGGGTCTTAAATTAACTTGCAGCGGTACTGATGTGCTAGTCAAGAGAGACTCAGGCGCTGTCCGGACCCGGTACTATCGTACATCCTGGCCGGTTCTGCTGAAAGCAGAGTAGCTGAAAACGACACCCGTCCGATTGAAGTATGTCTTACATTATTAGATCAGAGAAAAACACCATCTACAAATAAAAAAGTGTACATATCATTGAGCAAGAAACAGAGCATCAACACGTCTGCATATTTTTCTGTAACATACACGTTCAGTCACTCTAACAACCATTTTATTCAGGCATCCATTTAGTCAGCAATCCTCTGAGTTTCATTTTTGGGTAGTTATACCTGCTATAACTCTTGATGGGCTCAATAATGCAGCGTAATAGGTGCAATTTAGGAAAAGTAAAATAAAAATAAATTATGTATGAGTTGAGTCAGTTTGTCCCAGTAAGGACTGGCCAAACTAATGCAAATACAAAAGTCCAGACAACCTCCTACTGGGGTCTTAGCAGGTCTTTTCAGAATCCATCTCCAGTGTGTTCACCGCTGTACTGTACACACAACTGCCAGATGTGAACAAATTTTAATTTAACTTGGATCATGAACACATTTAAAGAAATTCCACTTAATAAAAAAAAAAACAAACATATATCCACAATATCCGACTGAATTACCAGCTAAGGAATTCACAGGTAGATTCAAGCAGAAACTAATACGGTGCTGCAGCCTAATTACAGAACAAACAGCGAAAAAAAAACGATCCATTCTCAACAAATTAAACAGCATTGTGTTGTGTATCCAGACCAGGACTGTAATGTGAGAATCCTTCTTTGAAAGTTTGTAAGGGTGGATGAACAGAGGGATGTGAGGGGAAAACAGAAAAATTAAGGTTTGTGAGGACGCTTTTCTGATAGGACGTGACGTCACAGCGGTGGCAGGTAAACGAGGTGGAGTGGTAGGAATAAATGTGAAAAGTGCGTCAAAGTGAGTTTCTACACTATTAACAGCCTCAAGCATCAACATCCTACTGTTTGCATGATGCTAGGAAAGCCACCTCAAGGAGAAAAATAAATCTTGGAAAAAATGCACAAAGAAAAGTGCAACGACACAATAAGATCTTATGTACAGAGTGTATCAGCTTGTGAGGCTTTAACTAGAAGAAGTTCAGGATCTTTCTATAGTATAGATACCAACATGTTTGGATTCTTTCTGAAGCAATTTTCCTTTTCCTTCTCAGAGTGGCAAGAAATGAGCTTTATGTAAAGTCTTTTGACACGGCCTCGATGAAATTTGGAGCGGACATGAGTATAGTGAAGGTGCAGATGATGGAGAACAGCGAGAAGGCCACCAAGCATAAGCGATCCACCACAGCGGCGGCGAACTTCCACTCGCTGCAGATTTCCTCCCCCTCGTCCTGGTCTCGAAAGCGCCTGGCGATGTACTGCACTTCCTCCAGGATGAGGGAGATTTCCGGGATCTGCTCCAACAGCACTGTCCGCGTGTGGTCCGAGTGGATGTCGGGCTGGGAGGAGCCACTCAGGTGGTTCCCTCCGCCCCCTTCACTGCCGATGCCGCACGTCACCAGGCCTGAGTCGGTGCTCGGTGGGAAGGCGGGGTTGTCCGTTCCCATGGAGTGGTAGCCAAAGTACAGGTTCATGTTGCCGTTGGTCGCGGTCGACTGGGCCTGCCCTGGAATCGTGCTCATCTGGATGCTGGTGGCGCTGGTGTGGTGTGGAGGAGAGTGAGAGTACTTGTACGTTGGAGGGTTACTGGAGCTCACTGCTGGTTTATTTTCTTCCCCAGGCTTCTTCATGCGGAGGAACCAGGCGCACCAGTTCAGTAGAATCACACGGATCTGGTTGACGGGAATATGGGAGTTTAAAGGAAGGACAAAACAGGCATAAAAATGTTTATGTTCCGGATGATCAAAAAAAATATATGCTATCAGAAAACAATAACCTGAGTAAACGCAAAAAGCAGTTTTTAAACAATTATTCCATTTATTTGGGAGAAAAAAGCTACCAAATCAAACTGACTGTATGTGAAGATATAACTAAATTAACTATGATTGTCTACGTTGTTTTGCTTAAAGCTGATTTTACGTCGTCCTACCCCTTTAAGTTTTTCTATCTGCTCTCAGTTCTGTTTACTGCAAAAGATGTGAATTAAGAAATCCCTTAAATAGAACCTATCTGTCAACACAAAGAAGGGTTAAAGATGGAAAAAGCAGCACATCATGCCCACATTTGTAGAAAATCATGACTGGTCTGTCGAAATTGTTCCAAGCATACATCAAAAAAGAAACTAGAACAACAAAGCACAGGTCACGCTCGCAGTAACACGGTCAATATGTTGGGATTTAGTGCAAAGAGAAGAAAGCGAGGTAGAAAATGGCTTGAAACAGATTTTTATGGCTCTCCGTGGCCGAGTGGAAGGATTAGTTTTGGCTTGTTGGAGGATTGTGAGTTTAATTCCAGGCTCCTCCAACAATATACTGAAGTGCATGTATGGATGTGGAGAGAAAAACTGTAACTTGTGAAAAAATGCTTTGAGTAGTCAGCAACAAAAAAAAGCTCCAAATATTCACTTTAGTTAACTAGAGCATAGAAATGTTTCATAGTTAAAACTACTATTTTAGGTACATCACGTGCATCATAATTATCCATCCCAACGACTCAATAATTCCCAAATGTTTCGCAGAAACACGACGAGAAATAAAACCTAGAAATCTTGAGTAACTCAAATCTTTGTGAACCGAAACTTCACAAAAGGTGCTCCAGAGAGGCAGCAATACTTTATTTTAGACTTTCCATATCTATTTACTTTCACAAGCACCTTTGACCTACCCATTTAGGCATTTTCCCCCCTCTGGGATCGTGATGGTGAAACTGAAGAACCAGGACTGTTACCACCACAGACAAGCCCACAATCATCATGGTGCTGGCAAAGTACTGAGCTGAAAGTAAACGAAACATTTACATCATACATCCCTGTAAGGGTAATGAAAACCATGTCATTAACATAATTTATAACTAGCACCACAATTTCATACTGAAGGGATTTTTGTGGATATTATAAAAAAAAAATCAGAAATAAACTATCCAAAATACATAGACAGACATAAAGAAATTAAATAGATTATGATAGGTGTGTGCTGATTTGCAGAACCCTGTCTATGTGCATTTAATGCAGCTTCTGTTTCACAGCTGTTCAGACTAATCCAATTATCATACATTTCCATATTAAACCACAAGCGGAAACTGGATTGCCACTGAGCATCAGCTCTACTTTTTTTTCTGCAGTGAGCTCACACATCATGAAGGAAACTTTGCTAATGGCTCAGTTTTCCATCACCGAGCTACCAGATGATGCAGAGCAACTATTTTAACTGCTGTTTTCCCTCTCGTCTCTCAGCCCGCCGTCCCGTCTGCTCGTGTGTGTGTGTGTGTGTGTGTCAGCAGCACAGTTTTAGACGGCGCAACTCAATGTTTGTCTCCAGCAATGAGTGTAATCTTCAGATACTGCAGAGACAATAAAACATCCACCTTACACCTGCACATCTTTTCCACGCTTGCAACAAATCATTCAGGGGGGGAAAAAAAAAAAATGTTCTGTTAGACTGTTGTGACAAAAGATCTATAAGTGTGATTGGAAAGAAAATTGTTGTGGCGCTCTCTAGGCTGTAGAGACTCAAAAATGAGAGAGGAAAAAAAACAAAAAAACATCTGGAGTAAAATGTTATTGTGTTGGAGATGAAGAAATCACAGTTCTGTGGTAGATTACCTACACGTGGTTTTTATAATGTTTTCGGCCTTCCAGTCACGAATTTATCTGCTTCCCATGTCAGTCAAAAGACAAGTCAAAAAAGTAATACATAGATGACACTATTTGGACGTCTCTGTGTACATTTCCTAGAGAATGCCAAACTCACCAAATCCATTATGTTACATAATGTGGAAAGCTCGAAAAGATAAACGTAGAAAATGTGCTGTGTTATGATAAGTCTTTCTGCAGCAGACCAACTAAAGTCAGTGACTCACCTGGACATATGAAATATTTTCCTAAATCTCTGATTCCTTTGACTTCATTTTTAAATAGCTTAATGACTAACGAGCAATTTATCGGCACATCTCTTAACTTTTTTTTGTTTTTTGTTTTTTTAATGAACTTAATTATCTTTCAAAATCTTCCTTGCATCTACCAAACTAGGTTAATTGATGATTGCTATTCACTAATTTGGAAATTGGTACACTTGCAAATCATTTTTCTACCTCCCTTTTCTTTTAATGAGCATTAATTACCGGCAAAGGATGTCTTACCGATTAGAGGAACAGAGTCTGAAGTGGCAGGCATGATCTCTGCAACAAGCAGCATGAACACCGTCAGAGAAAGCAGCACAGTAATACCTAGAGAAAGAAGATGAAACCGCGTTGGAGGACTGCTGTCATCGTCTGTCCGTGTTTTTGCTAATTATCAACTTATAAGACCTAAAAATAAATGCAACTTCTGACATAATCACAGGTTTTGAAAAAGAAAAAAAAAAGGTATATTTATCTTGGAGTGTTTGTGTGTTTTCATTTAATTTGACCCTGTCTCAGAAGGTGCCATTTAAAATCAAGCTGGCATTTTCGGGTCCCTGTAATTATCTTGTGCTGTGTTTATGATCGACTTTTTATTCATCTGCCAATGAACGGCCACCTTGAATGCTAATCTACATCTTTAATGCCAGTATTAGCATAGCATAGCGACAAATAGATGGCTCTGAAACACCGCTGAGACCTGCTAGTACTGAGGCAGGAAAGATGTACAAGTATATTCTAGTCTAAGTTTATGAGTCGGTCTCCTCTTGTGTTAGTGTGGGATTGTTTCACTGTGTTTAAGGCTGTGCTGGTGTCTCGGTCTGTACCCAGTGAGATCTTTTCTCCAGAGTCTGCTGGAAGCAGAAAAACCAAAAGGGCCAATCCAGAAATCAGCACACAGGGGATGAGCAGGTTGAGGCCGTAGTACAAAGTCCTGCGTCGCATAGTGACAGTGAACGTCACATCAGGGTAGGGCTCCTTGCAGCACTCATAGTACAACTCGTTGCGCTTTCCAGGCACACCTGGAGGACAAAAAGATGAGAAGGCAATAAATGTCGGAGGTTGAACAAACTGGACGTTTTAGAATCCATTGAAGAAAGACTGTAGAATGGACAGAGAGGTCAGAATGTTGTTCTCTTGTGCCTTTTACAGACAGAAATGCTTCAAAGAAAGCATTTATTCGAAGGTAATAACAAATAAAAAAAAAAAAACTTATACAGGTTTTGCACCAAAGTCCAGCTTCTGATGTTGGGGCTGGTGGTCCTGGATGAACTTTCTCTTTACGTTTACCTGCAGTGATGTTTTTAAAGCTAAACAAGACTTTGTAACCACCTTTGCTCAGAGCGCAGCAGACTGCTAACCTTAATGTTCTCTTTAGCACACGCAAACTAAAAGCAGCGGCAGTATTCCCAGATAGGAAGTGTCCATCTCTTTTCTAGATTACCATTTGCATAATTTATCTGTGTTTTTGTCAAACTTGAAACAGAAAGGAAAATGACTTCATCATGGTCACAGATGTATCAAAACAAGGTCGTGAATTTGTATTAGAGACTGTGTTTGTGTGCGTGTGTAGATTCTGAGTGCCAATTTCAATCAAAAGAACAAGATAACGGTACAAGTATTGCACTTTGAAATGATGGTGAAATAATGAAACTATGCGTATTAATCACTTCACTATTAATCAGTGTGTGGGTGTGTGTTTGAGACAAGTCTGGACCACAATTAGCAATCAGTTTTGAATCAAAATCAAGCTGAAGTGCCACAGATTTGATTGTGTTGGGCATGACAGACCACCCATATCAACCACTTTTAACCTTTTCTCACGTTTTAATATTTATACTCTATTTGTGAGAAAAAGTCTTGTCTGAAACAGTCAGCAGCACAAACAGAACTCAAGCCTCTTGCTAAAAGAACTAATTTCCTGCAGAAATGAAATTAAAATAAATTGAATGGATCTCATTTTATTTCGTTCAAAGTTTGTCACCTGGTTCTGAAAGAACGTAGCTTTTGTTTGCCACCTATTAAATTGATGGACTGCAGACTTGCAGATTCAGATTGATTATATATGCGTGTGTGTGTGTGTGTGTGTGTGTCGGCCTTGACACTGCTGTGGTTTGTTCTGAAGCACCGGGATGATTTGTGTTCCTGGGAAGTTTGGCCCTTGACTGTTCTGAATTAAGTGAACCATCGCTGGACCAGCTGTCACCCCATACAAACCAAAATACTCCCCACACACTCACACACACATTTCCGGGGCCAGCTGGGTGATCTCACTTCGTGTGCAAGTCTACGCTTGCATCTTTCTTTGTCCTGCTTCTCTTGGCCATTGATTAGCAAAAATTGAGGAAGAGATTATGTGACATCTTTCATTTCCCAGAGACAGAGAAGATGGCAGAAAGAAACGGCAGCTGAGTTAACAACAGTGCGTCACAGCCGAGGTAAACAGGACTGCTGAACAGGATCTGCCTTTTTAACACGTCACTCTGCATTTACAGAGCCTCCTGTGTGTCGATTTGGTTGCAGAACGGAGAAGAAGAGTTTCAGCTAAAACTTTGGTACAATTTCAGGGTCTATGTTCACAAAAGGTTCTTATTACTGTGCCTCTACATGAGAATTTACCAAAATGTTTCAACAAAAAAGGTTTTGTTCTCAACACATCAAAGTCTGCAATTCACAATAGATGTTGCTACAAGTACAAGAGTCCTGAAGTATTAAATTCTCCCTGTTGGATGACCAGGAGAATTATAAATACAAAATGATAATGAGAATAACATCTATGAAAAAAAAAAAACCCTGCTTTCTCATTGAAAATAAAACACTACATTTCCGTAAAATTTAACAGAATTGAATCCAATTTCTTAAAATGCAAATGATAAAAATAATAACTTGCCAGGACAGTAAAGTAAATTCATGACTGCAATTAACATGTGGAGGAGGAGCCGGAGTGTCTCAGGGCGTCATCTTTCAGTTTCTACAGCTATGGTTTTACACTTCTCCCTAAAAGATGACTCTAGTGGGCTGGTTAATTTAAAAAGAAAAGAAAAACAAACAAAAGTGTATTTTGTAAAAGGTGGTTTGGTCGTTACATGAGCACATATGGTAAAAATTGACAAAATATTGAGACGCAATAGATTCCTGACTAACCTTGATGAATGATGGGTGGAAATAGTCTTTCACTAAAAGTAATTTCTAATTTTTCTACACTTGTATAGGGATCTTGTGATAACTGTGCTACTTCAACCTTTGCTTTTACTTCATCAAATGTGACAAAATATTTAGTAATTAAAAACTAAGTAAACACAACCCTGCGGAAAGACGCCAAGGTTTTTATGAATACAGTTGGCGCCCCCTTTTCACCTTTAAGCAATGGCTTCGATATTTCCCCTGTTATCTGTAAGGGAGCTATGCAACCTCCACCCAAGGCAAACAGAGAATCATTTTAAGATCTAAGCAGCAAATCTTAACAAATTAATACAGGAAGAAAACTGTCCGGATTGTTAAAACTATATACGTGTGGATCGCTTTTGGTTGAATTAGAACAGGGGCTGGGGAACTTTCCAAGTTGGTAGCTCTCCATTTTTGGCAGTTGGTTGTCAAAACAATATCTGAAGACGGGCTGAATATTTTGTCTGAAGGTCCCTCTTAATTTAATAATGAAGATTTTGAAGCCTTGTGTCCAATCTGTTGGGTTACCTTAAAGGCAGACCAAGTCTGAAGCACTGTTTCAGCTCTTTGATACTCACTGGAAATCTCACAGCTTAGAGGATGCTAGAAGCTACTTGTGAAGGCTGAAAATCACAGTCAAAGTCTTGTTAGCCATGTGTACTAAATAAAATATTTGTTTATTGTCCTTGGGTATTAGAATTGTGCTGCTCCGGGTGGCAGCATGTTGAAGTAGCTCTGCTACGTTAGTTGTGATTTGGTCTCTTTCCACTTTTGTTCACATTATTATTATTATTATTTTTTTTTTTTTTTTTGTTTGGACAATTATTCCCTCTGGTTTTGAATGCTGTGCAGCTGGATGGATTTTTGCTCTTAATTTTTCATTTTCGGACAGTTGCAGTGGCAACAAGGTATTGCTTTTTTCAACTGCGAGCAGCCAAGTAGCATCCAGAAAATTCAAATAACACCTGAACAACAACCTCAAATCCCAGAGGAGTTGGGGGAAAAAAAAGGCTTCGTGGATGCAGAATGGGACCATAGAACAGACGGAGAAGGAGGAAGTTCAAACCATCCCTTCCATCAATCAAAGATGCTAAAGTGTCTCTGCCCAGCTTTCTAATGACACGGCCAGACAGACTTAAAGTGGAGCAGCAAAAAACAAAATGCTGTGGCTTAACGGTGCTCGCTTGGCTACAACTGATGATGTCATTCAGGACACGATGCGGAATATTGTCTCTGCTGCTCAGATGTTGAGTATAATTAAATTACACTCAACATCAAATTTAATCATGTAATTTCAGCAAATGTCTTCAGTGAGGGGCCACTCCAGATTTGTTGCAAGGCCGGCTGCTACCGGAGATTCTTCCTGTCGACAGCATTACTTGGATTATATGAAGCGACGACATTTAATTTCTCTTAGGGATAAATATAATAAATACAGTACCTGAGTTTATTTATTTATTTTTTTTTTGTAAACATCCAACTTCCTCTCAAAATGCCTTCCTCAAAAAAGAAAAATGCATAAATAGGTATAAAAGAGAAACTGAATTAAGTTGCTTTTTTTTTTTTTTTTGCTTTTCTTGCCTACGAGGTCCCATTCTCCGTTGGGTATGTATGTAGAAATGTCCACGTCCATCATCTGAAGATCCAGGAGCCAGCCATTGTGGGTCCAAGAGCCAAACTTCAGGTCACACTTCTGGATATCAAATGGGAACCACCGGACATCAATATAGCACGTACTCTTCAGGATACCTGAAAGGAGTAAATATAGTACTTTTATTTTTCACCCAATTTTGTTTTTTTCTTTTTTTTTGCACAATGCACTAAAAATGTCACTTAAACAGTTTTGTTTTGTAAGGAACAGGTGGAGCCCAATAAAATAAGAAATATTTAAAACAAACTATTAATTAAAAAAAAGTTGTTTGGTTTGGTTTGATTTGAATGATTACTACTTGTTTATTAAAAAGTTTTTAGAATAATACTTTAAATAAGGCCAACTAAAAGAGATGTTCAATACAGAAACATCTGACCTACTCGATCATGGAGAAAACCGCTGTCTCACTTGTCCACCAGATTGTCACTGATGGTCATAAGCCATTAAGAAATAAACTTATTGAGGGGAAGTTGAGTGAACAGTCAGACGAAAACTAAATGCTTACTGATTGGACCAAAGTGTCCTTTTCAGATAACATTGTACTGAAGATCTACACCACAAAGACTGGAGGAAGAATGGAGAGGCCAGAATCCATGTTGCTCGAGGTCCAGTGTGAAGTTTCCAAAGTCAATAATGTATAAAGCCATTACACCAGGTCGTTTTATTGCACCTCGTGGTGCCCTTTGCTGTGACGAGCATTAATGGAGAGGCTGGCTGAATTCGCCATGTGTTCCCTCTTCAACCAACATCTGATTTGACGTTTTGCCTCTATGCCATGTCATACCACATTGATGAACTAATTTAAAAAAAAGAGGCCTGACCAATTAGTGACTCAACTTCAAAATACATGGATATATTTTTCACTGAGCAAAAATGTATGTGTGAAACTCTTTTTTTTGTTCTCCCTTGATTGTTACACTAAGTACAAATTTTATAATTAAGATAACATTTGCTAAATAATGTATTAGTTTTAGTTTTTGAACAGAATTTCTAAGAAAAAAGTTACAATGATATTTGAATCTACTGAGACAGAGATGTATATAAGACTTTAAAGACGTATAAGTGAAGAGGTTTGGATAATGTAATTAATAATCATTTTTAAGTGTTTTCCCATTGTATGCTGGGATTAATTTTAAAACCTCAGAATTTAAAGGAAAATAAGTTAAAATAAAAATGTACTTCCAACTCATGAAAAAAAAAAGAAAATCTCTCAATTTATCCCAGTAGTGCAGAGTGAAAATATCCAATGTTATAACAATGTATATTCAGTATTAATAAATCTGCACTGTAATATAATTCATTTAAATTTCTAATCTACGATTATAAATACAACTCAGAGACAGGCCAAACATCACATGTGGAATATCTCACCTGGTGGGATGTACTGGCAGGCTCCTGATGCATTCACCAGCACATTTGTATGAAACGTGGCATCAAATCTCTCATCGGCACTAAAGTGAGAGAAGATAAATTACGAACGACTTTAAATGGCAACTGCAAGTCTGAACAGCAACTCAGGAAACAACATTATGGAGAAAGTTAAAATAATAAGTAAGCTGCAAAGTCAAAGACACAAAAGAAAAGAAAAACACACAAAAAAAAAAACGTATTGTGAGTCTGAAGGTTACATGCGGAGGAGGAGGAAGATTACCACAGCTACAGATATGCAGTGTTTAATTACAATGATGAGTACAAAATATTGCAGAGTGCTTTAAAGCCTCTTGTCACAGAGGAAAAAGGCAAAGATTGGATGTCTCATAAACTAACAAAACAGCCAATATTTCTTTTCAGATCGAGTCTAAAAGGAAGCAGAAGCTGCAATTATCCAGACTGTAATCATAACTTAACACTACGTTATGTCAGACGTGTTTCCTGAAAGTCTCAAGTTTTAACTTTGTTTTTAATGAGCCACCAGGCCCGGTTTCAAAAGAACCGACATTTCACTGGAATGCATTCACCCTAAATAAAGAAAACATCTTCACATTTGCAGCTTCAGCAGCTCGTCTGGTGTCGTTGCTGTACCACATTAAATAAATGGATGACACCTGATGAACTCGGGCCTTGGCGTGATGAATTTTCAGTCGCAGTTTGTGTTTCTTCTTGCAGCATTTATTGGCAGGGCCTCTGCAAATCAATACAAGCCTCGGAAATAAAATAGACATGGCTCGTTCAAAAAATGAATAGCCTGACATTTCAGAAAGCGGCTCCACATAAGGAGTGAATAATAAAGGCTATAAAGAAGCTGTTGCTCACTTCTGATCCAATATGAGCAATTAAATGTGCCTCAGTTGAACCGTGGTTTCACTATACTGTGGGGAAAAAAAAAAAACTAAAACTTTTAAAAATGTAAAACTAAAACTGGTGACATTTTAGACAACATAGGATTGTTAAAATGTTGATATTTTGAGGAGTTTCACAGCATCTCATAAACCCCTTTTTCACATGAAGTCATTTCCTGATTCTAGTGACAGCAGAGCAAAACAAAAAACAAAAAAAAAACTTGAACAGATTCATGCAAACATCTAATTGTTATTTTTTTTTCATATTTTGATAGTAACAAGAGAAAAATGTATATGTTCCCATTATGTCACATCGTGTCAACAGATTCCAGACAAATAGGCAGGAAGAAAACCTAAAGAAACGAGCTGCATACAGAGGCAGACAACCAGTAAAGCCTTACTTTTCCGACTCAAAACTTAAAAAAAATGGTGATGATGAAAGCACTCCAGCTCAAGCAATGATTGAATGCTTATCCAAATCCAGAGACTAGCTTGCCTCTTAACCCATCATTTGTTACTGTCTGTTAGTATATTTCTACCAATTACCGGCAGTGAAAGAATATGATGGCCGCACTTAAACTCTCCCTGAAGGCTTTTAGCCCGACAGGTGGAACATCAATTTTGGTCATGTGGTTTTGCTCAACATCAAATTACGACCCCTAAATCTATCATTTAAATGTAATCGCTTGTTTCACCTAGCATAGGGCTGAAAGGCAAGGAGGTTGAGAGAGAGAGAGCAGTGAAACTCCTACCATCATTCTCATTTAACGTCCCAAATGAATGAGTTATATTAGGTTTTAGCCTTGTAATGGCATTTTGACTGTTTTTACCTAATGTGTGGACTGGAAAGCAATGAGAACGTTTAGCCACTTTATCAGGAGCAGAACCAAATACAGTTAAAATTAAACTAATTCTAAGAACCAGAATCAACACAGTAGATTACAAATGGTATCGTATATATCAAACTATCCTCCCATCCCCCCAATAATTATTAATAGACCAAATCCTTGCTAAGAATGTTGGGGCATCGAGTTTGCATTTTTAAATAAGAGTATAGAAATTGTATGATGATAAACACTTATACCGTTGTTACGTTGTGGCCTTTCTGCTTTGTGCTTCGAGGTTCTCATCCTTTTTAGATGTAACGTAATCTCCAGCCGGCTCAGGTTGCCAAGGATCTTTTGGACACGTCAAAAATAATTCTGCAGCATGTGTCACAACTCGGACACATCGCTGAACTCAGCTCAAGTTGATCAGGTCATTATTAGGCAGGAAAAAAGAAAAGGTGACTTCACAGCAAGCAGTAACTTTGTCCTTTCGCTCTTTGTTTGCTTTTATGTCTTTCATTCCAGGTCAAACTTTTTAGTAACGGGCATCCATCATAAATCATAGAAGCATGTTTTATATGACAATCCTTCATATTATACAAAACGTTATTTACTTCTTCACCTTTGAACAAACATAAATAGTGCTTTCAGATGCAGCAACACAAATGGCAAGTTAATTAAGGATCAGCTTGATGGCAACTTTATGTACTCAGTAAGGAGCAATTTCAAATCCTTAACGGTTCTAACTAAAGCTTTATACTGAAGCCCACAGAAAAGTACTGAAATTAAAGTAGAATTCAGGTTAAATTTAGCCTTTTGTTTAAATTAGTGAGGAGTCTGGCAGTCACAATTTGATTTAAGTGAAGCCTTTAGAGATTGGTTTGGCTTTAGTACCAGTAAATGCAGTCTGAGTAGTCTGCACACACGAGTGCATGAATTTGAACTCCAAGATCTTAAGGGACATAAAAAGCAGCATCTTAGAGATTCTGGATAAAGCCATGATGAATACTTTGAATCCCCATGTAATGAACTAGTGCTTAGACTAAATTGCTTACAGTTTATAGTAATATTTTTTCTTGAAAGGCGGCTTTTGAATAAAAAAAAAAAACAGACACGCAAAAAAGCATTAAGTGACACGCTTTTTTGCATTTGGATGGTAATTGCACCCAAATATATCATGTATTCTAAAAGCAGCACCAGATAAAGTCACAGTCTACCAAGTCCATAAAGAAACTATTATTTATACACAGACACATCTATTGCACATCAACACACATCAGGAGATTGTGTTTTACCGGGGCATTGCATCTGAGCCATTCGATTTTCTATAAGGATTGCCTCTTCACCCCTCATCGTCTCTCAAATCACTCTGGATGCATTGTTGTTCATGTGCTAACACACAGACAAAAAGCATTAAACTGCCAAGCGTTTGAGATCCTTAGAGACATGGAAGTATTCTCAACGTTCATCCTGCTGGTTTTAGAGAAATAATGAGCCACTGAGCAAACAGGACGACTGTGTTGCGTCCAAGATCCTCCGTTTCTCAAGGCTCCTACAGACTCGTCCCACATGTTCCTACCAGAGGAGTTATTGTGAGACTGATCTTAGGTTTGAAGAGACTGATCTCAAGCTGCACAGAGAAAAGTGCTCAGGTGACAGCAGCAACTTTCTTCCTATACACACAAGCAGAAACAGGAAGTCACCCTCTTACGTCCTTCACAGAATAAACCTCAAACACCACCGAGCCTGAGGATTTATGATGCTTGGTGCCCGTCTAAACTCCTCTAAGCTGTGCAGACAGATGACTTTCTGTTAAGTAATTTTAGATTTTCACAGTTCAGCACTCCAGAGGTTTCAATTTTACATGCAGCCTGACAGACAGGATCAAAGCCTTAACACATAAATGGTAAATGGACTGAATCTATATGGCGGCTTTTCCAGTCAGACTGACCACTCAGATAGCTTCACATTAGAGATTCACTCACACACACACGCTCACGACATGTTGACGGGTAGGAAAACGTAGGGTTAAATACCTTGGCTAGGCGAACGAGGAAACTGGAACCAAACCCACAACTTTTGGATTGCAAAACGACACCTCTAACTTTTTCACATCTTTTTAAATCCTTACTCCTTTTTAGAATCCTTATTTCCTTTTTCTACTACATATATTGGGGTTTTTATGTCACAGGCCAAAGATTTGGGTTTTGATCTCATATAATTAGAGCATCTTGGCGCATGTGTTGGGAGGCGTCTCATTAAACACTTGTGGGAAACTTCAAATATGATCAATACTTTATCTTGAAACAAATATCACCAGTTTTTCAAGGCCTAATTTCAACCTGTCCTGGTAGTTAGTGTTGCTCTGCCTTCATGATGCTGTTTGTTCACTAATGTTCTCTAACAAACCTCTGAGGCCTTCACAGAACAGCTGGGTTTGTACTCGGATTAAACTACTCATTGCTGAGTTTTGAAATTAATTGGTTGCACTAAAGTACTGTTTAATTATAGTAAAGTGGGCAAGATATAAAAGCCAAACTTATAAAATGTTGAAAGTAATCTATCAGTTTCCTTCTACTTTGCAACAACTTTGCTTTTGTCTAAAAATCCTGATTCCTGATCAACTACATCAAGGTATGAACAACTGTAGAAAAACTGTGTATAAAGCTGACAGGTACCATATGCAGAGGAAAAACAGTTTTGCAGCAATTAATATATTTGAGAAAGTGATTCACACACCATCTTATTGTTGGACATATGGATTCAAAAATCTCCTCGTCTGCAAACTGCAGAACTGTACATTCAAGCATTGGTCTTGTCTTAGAAATGTTTCCCCCACATTCATATTTGCTCAAGTTTATCATGATCTAATTTTCTAATGGAAATTCTAAAATCTCGTAATTTTAATCTCTTCTCTTGCAGGCTTACCTTATTATTACGAAGAAGCCAAAATTTTTCCCAGGATTAATCCTCAAAGCATAAAGAACATCAGCTTCAACCCGGGGCTGCATCAGAAATATTGTCATTAATGTTTGTGATTTGTGGTCCTCTCCATAAGCGGCTTAATGTTTAATGCTATCTCTGTTACACAGCAAAAACTCATGTCTCTCTTTTCCATTCTCCCCCCAAACAAGGTGAGACTCTTACTGATAATGAACCGGGTTTAGTTGGATAAAACACAAACAGATTGGTTTGCCAGATTAGCTTGACCTGTCAGTAGAGTATCACAATATATATATCACACTATATATATAT